CTCTTTGTTACCCGCTAATTACTATATGCAGGTTATTTTACTATAATAGGGTGTGAAAGTTATATAACATTTTATTATTTAATAATTTATTAAAATACATAAGTTTGTCCAACTCCCTGTGGACAAACCCAGCCCACCGAAGCCCACGTCAATAGAAGCGCGCTTCCCCTTACCGAATTTCTGGATCCGCCAGTGCACTAAGTATGATAACTAATGTCATACGAGTAACTATTTATAATGCAACACAGGGTTTTTTAAAGTTTCCCTTTGCATTTTTTTTATGAATTAGACATAGCAATTAACGAGGAACGAGTGTATTTTATCGGCCGCACACGCGCGTCACATCACAACCTCACTCCCCTTAATTGCCACGATATCATACATTAACACTTGTAATTGGCATAGCATCGTAGATAAACACGATTCCGAATACGCATCCAGAGAAAAAATGTACTGTGCAACAGTATGATCGACTTTGCGAGCTGTACGGTGTGGTGGGTGTAATTGTACTCCACAGTAAGGACCAATTCATGGCACAAATTGTGCTCAATTCATAGTGACGATAAAACTAACGGAAGGTAAGGAGGTATTCAGTTAATATTCCCGTATAACAATGTCAGCATAGTTATAGATATAAAATTGTTTCTCGCAAACAATTTTCTCTGTAGTTTTCATTTTCCGTCTTTTGTGCGATTATTATTTATTTCATTCGTAAAAGATTATATAGTAATTATGGATATGGATAAAATATACAACAGGCTAATTTATCATTCAAAACAGCCACTAGCAAATTATATGCAAATGAGTTCATCACAATAATTACTATTTATGGTTATTTACACTCAGACACTAGAACACGAAACAGACAGACTTTACCCTGGACAGAGACGGACAGTGACATGGACAGAGACATGGACAGTGACAAGGTCAAGGTCAAAAGGTGCATGTTATTTTGATAAAAGAAAAGAATGCATTAACAATTTATAGCGTTTCAAAATATTTTATAATTTTTTCGCTATTTTTTTTTAAAAACAGAATAGCATTCATTGTTTTTTCAGCAATATTTTTTTGCCAGATGAATAATTTGTTTCACTTTTTCAATGAATAAATTAAAGTTTGGTTTAGTATTACCGAATCTTGCGATATACACTTCATATTTTCCAAGTAACAATAAGTGCTTTCACATGGCTTACTCGTTTCTGTGTAAAATTTACCCAATACAAAAAGGGCAAAAATAATACACACAAAGAAAATGGCCAAGACAAACAAATACTTGCTTACTCGCACAACCGTAAACGACGGCACTACAAGAACAAACAAGAGGAAGAACAGTTGTAGACGAACTGGGTCCCGAAAAGCATGCATCAGTGAATTATTTTCCAGTGACGTAATTTGGGAATATGTTTTCTTTATTTTTTCTTTAATTACCTTAATTACTTTTATTAGTTTACCTAGTTGGTCAAACAAACACCATTTTGCAACTTTTGTATTCGTGGCGCATGCTTATCGGGAGTGTGCGACAACAGATTTTAAACACATTGGGAATGAATAGTATTTGGAAGTTAGTCTATTCAAGAACGATGGGGATATATATAATAAATAGTTATGGAACACGCCTAGCTGGAGAGTATAGTAACAATATGGTCAGGTATATGTTTGGTATTGCGTAAATGATACCTAGTCAACCCGGACATTGTAAAAAGGTAACAAAAGATGCTCAAATAAGTGGATTACTATATTGATTGATACATATACATAATAAAAGATAGAGTAAGGGTAACATTTCAGTTCTGTTCGGCTTCACTTATTTCTTCGTGATTTAGTTGCCACTGGAGCGGTGGATGTAGAGTTGCCCATTTATATAAAGCTTTCCGTCACAAAATTTTGGTTTATTTCCTTCACTGTAAGCTTCGTTCATTATTTCATTTACTGCACGTTTACTTTTATAGTCTTCCGGACAGCGGTCTTCAGTCACGAACATTCCTGTGCTCTGTAGAGCTTTCTTTGCGTTTACGATTATGTTATAGCGTTGTAGGCGATATAAAGATTTAGCTAGGATATGGCGCGGTTTTCCGGTACCTTTTGTTTTCCCAGTTCTATGTGCGTTTTCAATCTCTGTTTTCCATACCAAACTTGCTCGTAGTATCTGTTTTGCCACGTGTAAGCAGTCTTCGTCTTCTCTTTCTTGGATTCCACCCAATCGTAGATTAAAACTCATGGAGTATCTTTGCATTCTGATATTTTCTTCATCTAGTTTATAGTTGTATCACGAAGTTGTAAAAAATATCTCTAAGTTTACTCACTTGTTCATGCAAGCCACGGTTACCATTCTTCAGCTGCACATTCTCTCAATGTTTTTTCCGTACGTGTCAGAGCGTTTTTATCAAAATAGATTGTATATACGGTAACAGTATGTGGATGTTTAAACAACAACAATACAAACCTAGATTGCACATACCTCGATATTCGGTCAACTGTTTTCATTAAATTCGAGTTTTTAACTTGATTGTCAGTTAACTTTTCATTAAAGTTCGAGTTACACAAAACAATCGATGTATGTTGTCCGTAACTCGAAGTTCGGTAAACTGTTAATTGGACATCGAGTTATAATTTAGAAATGTTTTTGCAAAAGTTGTCGTGGTTTTTAAAATATGGGTGTGGCCAGTTTTATCATAGCTGGATGTGTTCGTAACTCGATGTTCGTAACTAGATGTCCGTAACTCAAACAGTTCAACATCTTGCCAGCCATCAAATAATAACAATAATAACGAACGAGTTGTGGCATTTCTAATAATCGTGTTGTAAAGGCAAGCTTTTGAATCACTTGTTAGGTGAGCTGTTTAAAGTATCACTTTTTTTGGCTGACAAATCCACGTTCTCATACATAGCTGTCTTAGCTACCAACGAGATGCTAACACTTATCCGTTTTAATCTTCAATTTAAATACACAGGATGACCTAGGACGTCCAACTGTGCATGAGCATATCTGTTTGCTTGTGATCATGTTTACTGTTGACCTAAAAAAGCTACTGTCACTTGTTCTGCTCATGAGCAGCACGACGGTATTGTTCCTGATGCACGTGTCACATGAACCAGGTACGTATACCACACGATGCGAAAAACATAAATATCCTGTCAATGTAGTTATGTATAATGAATAGTCATTGAAAATAGTCTAGTTTCCGTGACAATGGGATCAAGATTCAACCAACCTTTGTTCCAAAAGCAACTTCCTTTTGCACATGTCATGATAATTCGACGAATCAATGACAAATCATTCCCTAACTTGCTGTTTCGATGGTGACTGAGAAACCATCCCTAACTTTTTGAGTTGAGTTATAAATTAAAATTCATTCGTTTCTATGGAAACCAAACGTATATCTCTACCAAGATTTAATAGATTTGTCCTTGTATTAAGAAAAATTTGCTAGAAATTTGTTTGAAAATCCATCCATAATCTGCTGAGACAGATACAATTTCTATTTTATTAGCTCTATGGGTGAACAAACAAACACCGGCAACAGCGTAACCTCTTTGGCAGAGGTTTAAAATAAATATGCTTAGATAGAAATACTAAAATCAATTCTGCGTTAGCAAATTTACATTTATTAGATTTGTTCGTTTTCCGTACCCGCCAGCGGATCTAAAATATGCATATACTTGAATGAATACAAAAAAAAGGAATTTATCTTGGACACACTTTGACCGCTGAAGACCTCGACTGATTACTTCCGCTGATGACATGCTGCAGAAATCTCGAATCAGTAGATTGTCCTACGAATATTTTACACTGAAGTTTACACATACAGCTTGATTGGTTTATCTCTCATGTGTATATCATATTTGGTATGTCAAAATGATTCAATATTGAATTAACTTTATTACTATATATTAACTATATATTACTGTTGGCCGATGCAAGGAGGGACACATTGAAAATAAATAATACAGTATATACTTCGACCAATAAATATTATATATGCAGTAGTTATTTTTTTAATAATGTGGTTATTAATACTTTGAATGACGGCTGACTTGAGAAGGTTTTGTCATGTGTTCGGTCTTATATATTGTTATACACAACGAGTTATGAGTTACAGTAAGGGAAAAAATTCGTACTTGATAATGCGCATAATTGACGTGTATATATTAAATTGTTCATGTTTTTGCCAAGCGTTTTTTTTCTCAATGTGCGACCAAACATGCAGTGTGTACGGGACATCAACTTGCAATATCGAAAACAATTACCAGCAATAGCCAATATTGTCCTAACACATTAACAGCAGCTGTCACATTACATCAACCAGCCAACTAATTAAATATTTTTATTAAATCGACACGGACACCCCATTTGTTTGCCCCGTTTTTATTTTGATGTCAATGCATTACATTGTTTTATTGATTTGTCTCAATGATCTTATTTTCATTGAAAATCAAAATTATAATGATAACTCTGGACAGTATGGATCATTTATTCAATTTAAAGTTACGCCAACCAATCGTACGGATGATATATCCAACCTCAATTTTCGGGGCCAATCGTGTATTTAAAACAAGTTTTAAATACTGGTATAAGGCTGTTCAACTGTCAATTAAACATCGTGTCTATATGACGTCCGTTCACCATGTTGCTGTTTTGCATGGGCCGTACATTGTTTTAGTATGACCACTCACGTGCAGAAAACGGCGTTTTTTGGTGTGGGAACTGTTGCCTTATCTTGTCACTTAACGCACTGAGGGTCATCTTGAATTCAATGTGAATGAAGTGGAATTAGACCTGACGTTGTTCAAGCGGGGGAGTCGTCACATGCGTCAGGTGGCCATAGCGTGTCATTGTTTACTAACAAGCGTCTACCCATGAGCCTTTGCGTTTTTAATGTGCGTTGTTATCGTCGCTTGGGACTCAATTCCCGCGCGTGCGCAGGTGACGACCCTCCCGCTTTAATCCAGTGATGTATTGAAATGACAGATAACGTGTAGTTATGAAATGGAACACTCTTCTTTTTTATATCATGTTTATTAACAAGTACATCCCCTAAGTATTCAAAATATATATTCAAATAAACAAAAATAACAATGAAAAAATATAAAAATAAAAAAAAAATAATAGAGCCTATACCTACATCGGTTTTTATCAGATTGTCTGTGTATATTGATGTGAAATGTTGTTTATTTCGAGTATTTTGACCACTCACCGATATTGTCGATTATAATTAATGGTGTTAATAATTTGCTAGATATACCAAGTGGAATGGGTAAACAAATTATGGATTTAAGAAGTAAAGTTGATATATCCAATATGAAGTATGAAACTAACGTAAGTATAACTATTGCATAATGTACACTGCACTATTGTATTAATTAATGGCTTTGTTCGTTGTTCGAAAGGCAACACCACAGGAATTATTAAAATGCGTTCATAATTGTTTGAATATTCTGTTAACAAACAAACGAACATACAGTTCCTGTCTCCATGGCATCCTGATCCAGATATCTCACAAAACAAATTGATTCCAAAAAATCATGATAATTGGCCCATAATGTTTTGTATTGTATGAAAATTGTGAAAGATTCATTCAGAAATTCATTTTTCTATGGCAACCGGACTCACCCCTCCCCCCCTCAAATTTGATTGGTCATTGTCTCAAGGGAAACGTCTCCTGGTTCTATGGAAACCTGGTGTCAATTGTTTGGTTCTTGTGCGAAGGATGACCAAAGATGACTTCGCCAAGGGGAACATACAAATCAAAATGCATTTCTACTACTATCAGTGTAGACAAATTGAAACAAATCTTCTAACCATGACCATCACACAGTCTTTCCATCATAGACTTTCACTCTATCATTTGGTCATCTTTCTGATAGCTCCAGTTATTTTCAAAATAGCTTTCTCTTCCTGTACATAATGTCTCCTGTTTTGTTTTCTTTCTCAGCACTATTCTGTACTTTAATAGAAGCATTACGAGCACAGTGTATATTTTCAATATAATATGACTATAATATGAAAATATGACAATTTTCTTTGCAACCGTCGTGATTTTCTTTACCATAACATTAGGCTGTTTGGGTCTTGCCTTGTGACCTTTCTCATCGCATGTGTTCCTCATTCCATGTCTGCATACTCTTTTACTGTGGCTCATCTGTGGCTCAAGACGTTTATTCACAATCACTGTGTTTACCTTATTTACTGTTGCTATTACTTCTCCTCTCCTTGCACGGGGAATACTCTTCATTCGTAGTTCTAATCTATATTATAGAGAGCCTGACTTTGATGATACATCAATGAAGGGATTGTATGGTTATAACTACCCAACTGTATACCTGCTTCCAACATTTTCTTCCCTTCGCAATTGCGTATATTTGAATGAACATTTGCCTTTCATGTTGTTGTTGTTTTCACAATAGCAGACTCGGGCGGCATCTGGAGCACATATATAAATGCAGTATTTGTGGTAGTTACGATCTTTAATTCCATTTCTCGCTTCTGGTTTTTTCTTGCATTGGAGTGCCACAGTCGGTAATGGAGACAATCTGCTGACTTAATACACAGGGTGGTTGGATACAGGCATAGGCACTATCAACAATGCTATTGCAAGTATTGTTTGTCCTGACCTGTGTTTATTGGTGTGACAGACATCTTCTTTTCTTATTCTTTGTTGATTGAACCTCAAATCACTTCATTAATGCGTTATTTAAAACTGACCTGAAAGTTAAAAGAATAATACGCAAATTCTGTTAGCCTTAGAACATAAAACCAATATTAGAAGTAATATTGTACACCAGTATTATGATGAAACGAGACGATGTCTGACAGTTATACTCGTGTTAGCTAATGTCAAACAAACTGACCTGTTTCATATATATTTATGATTAAGTTAGACGTCTACACATACTGAGAAAGAAGGTTGGACATTGTTCATTGGTTTATGTAATATGGAACTATATTTCATGGTAACAATAGACAACATTGTGGTGTGTGTTACAGTATTCTATTTTAGAAAATTAGTCGCAAATATAGCATAAAAATTACACTTTTTTTAGAACAATTCCCTAGTCGAAAAATACGTCATTCTTTATTGCGTTTTGAACCAGGATTACGCCGTCAAATATGATTTATACCTTTTTACCTTTTGTCGGCCTTCACTTGGGGGTATATATCCAGCATCATAGTACTGACAAAATGGTCAACATTCACTAAATATAACCATCAGTCATCAAACATTTTGCTCGTGACCTCAAACTTTTTTTCGAAGGTAACATCCTTATATGGCCCGAGATTACATTTTATTAATTGCAAAGTGAATAAATTTTGGGCATTTTGATTTATGATTAGGGTTCCTGTTTTTTTTATGTTTTACCACAGGAATCGGCATTGCATGAAAGTAATCGTGAAATATACAAAAAAAGAAAACTGTTTTTGCAACAACATTGTGAAGCGGATCATTCTGATGACGGACTCGAAGAGAACGATTTATTGTACGATGATAAATACGGATTGATCTATTGTCCAGTACCTAAAGTTGCCTGCACAAACTGGAAGAAAGTGTGGTTGGTTCTGATGGGGCACCTGAATACTGACGTATTGGAAAGCGTGCATCATTCATTTGTCCACCACACACCTATTACATACCCTATATTGAGAGAACTGTCACAATCTGAACAAGAAATGCGACTTGAGAAATACTTCAAATTTTTGTTCGTTAGGCATCCATTTGAACGTTTGTTGTCTGCCTTTAGGAACAAATTTGAGTTGACAGACGAATGGAATGTCAAGTTCATGACAGGCTATTCGGCAAAAATATTTAAACGTTTCAGGGAGGGGAAATGGTCACGTGCCCGTATCGTCCAATCACCCATCACGTTTAACGAATTTGTCCAGTTTATAATTGAGACAGTTGACGACGGAGCTCTACAAAATGAGCATTGGCGACCAATACACGAGATGTGTTCAGTATGTGACGTCCATTATGACGTCATAGGGAAGTTTGAAAACTTGGAAAAAGATGCACAATATATTTTGAAAGAATCGAATGTTGGCGAAATATTGACCTTCCCACGCCACGATTCACATATTACAAACAGTTCTACAGAAGAGAATTTGAAGAAATATTTTTCAACCATTTCAGCAGATAGTATTCATCAACTGTACAAAATTTATGAATTGGATTTCAAACTATTTCAATACCCCTATCCAGTTAATTACCTAATATGGTCACGACAATGACATCTTTGTATGCAGATAGGCATAGTAAATCAACAATCATATATACCCGAAACTATCATACTAGTAATTAGTACAGGGACAGTAAGACCTAAAAAAGTTATTTCTGGACGGCGTGCGAACCACCCAAAAAGTGCGGGCTAATCTTTTTACGTTTATTGAGCCACTGCACAGCTCCCTCTGGATTGATGAAACCCGCAAAATGTGTGCCCGTAAATATTTTACCAAAACAAAATTTAAAATACTTTGATCAGACACATTATTTTATTCGAGGACTAAAATAAAGTTTTTTTTTTACAAACAAAACTATTCACAATACCAATTCGCTCACTTCGGTGGCGCCAAAAACATGAATTCTTGGTCTATCTAGATACTTGCACCGACGGCGTGTCCCTCTACGTTCAACATGTTAGCTACTTTCTTTTATACGAACACGCGTGATGGATGGTATTCGAGTGAGCACTCTTTCTAAGAACAGTACTTGGACCATGTCTGCAATGTACATCAAATATCATTCAGTATGACAAATAAAACGACGCTGACAACTAAGTGTGTCATGTTAGCACAAAAACACAATAGCCCTGTCTTCAATAGAACCGTATTGTCAGTTTACATGTAAGGTGGGTTCGAGCCGGGGTTCGAGCATACTAGTATATTTATTTATTAACACACAACATCCCCCGGAGGGGATGAAAAGGGTTACAAATCAGATATTAGTAAAAGAAAAATAACCACATAAAGAGTAAGGGAACAAAAAGGCATAAAAAAAAAAAAAAGATAATAAGTTGAATACAAGGAATGTATTACTGGCTTAGTTTATGTAGGTGCTGCTGTCTTGTATTAAAACAGTTTTTTAAATATTGCGCTAAAGGAATTGACATTTTCTCGTCACTTAGTAATGATATGAATTTATTTTCATTACTAAATTTGTCAAAATTTGGTATACGTTTATTAGCTACAATGTAAAGTTTTGATCTTATTTCATTGTAATGAGGACAATTTGTGACAAAATGTTGTTCATCTTCAACATGGTCATTGTCGCACATATTGCAGACTCTGTCTTTAAAATCCAATCCTGTATGCCGGCCTGTTTCAATTTTCAGACAGTGGTTGCCAAGTCTAAATTTTGTTAAGGATTTGCGAAGTTCACTGTTTTTCATAATTGTTAAGTAGTTTTCTTGTTCTATTTTGGTTTTAAAAAGTTTGTAGGTTCTTAGTTTATTTAGTACTAGTATATGGTTCGAGCAACTCTGTCCCACTATCCTCAGGGGCTGACATCCGGGCATTTTCACCGCCTGGCAACCCACGGCGGTGAAAACAAAGGCCCAAAACTCACAGAAAACGGTACTTTGGGATGAATGTTGAGACTTCTCTGAACAGTGTAACAAGATTAGCCCTACGTGTGTAACATATATAAATTTGGTTGTTCGGGATTCTTCAAAGTTGAGTTTGTGTTGTTTTCTCGAATTTTCACCGGCTCGACCGGCGTTCCACAGAAGCGCGCACAGAGCCCATAGAAATGCATGTACAGTGGTGCGCGTCGTAGCAACGTGGAACGTTTTGTGACGTAGCTCCGTCCCCGAGGATACTTCCTTAAAGTGCATTCAAGCGGGTTAGCCGTCCCAGGCGCTGTTAAATTTGACTCGCTGTGCTCGGAGTCCGTCCAGGGAAATGGTGGGGATGTTGATGGCCCGTGGTTGTCGGTTTCCTAACATTTCCGTTCATCTTGTATTATGGTGAATATTTCAATACTATTTCTGGGTTGAGCGGGCTCGATTT